TACTGAAAATACTTGCAATAGTGGTCAGGCAAGAAAAATATAGTAAGGGCAATCAGGTAGGAAAGTAAGAAATCAAGCTCTCACTATTTGCAGATGATATGATACTATACTTAGAGAACTCTATAACCTCTACCAAGAAAATCCTAGAAACAATAGAATTGTATAGTAAAGTTGCAGGCTATACAATCTATACCCAAAAGTCCATGACTTTCCTTATACGCAAACAGTGAGAGAGAAGAAAGTGACATGAAAAAAATAATCCCGTTCACAATTGTGCCCCAGAAAATCAAGTACCTAGGAATCAGCTTAACTAAGGAAGTAAAGGACCTGTACAAAGAAAACTACAAAACGCTACCTCAGAAAATAAAAGAGGACACCAGAAAATGGAAAGATATCCCCTGCTCACGAATCGGGAGATTTAGCATTGTCAAAATGGCAATACTTCCCAAGCATTGTACAAATTCAATGCGATCCCAAAATCAGTATGGACGATTCTCAAAAAATTAAAAATTGTGCTCCCATTTGACCCAGCAATACCACTCCTGGGAATATATCCCAGAGAGGCAAAAAAGTATAGTCGAAGTGACATCTGCACTTGTTTGTTCATGGCAGCACTATTTACAATAGCCAGAATCTGGAATAAACCTGAGTGCCTGAGAACAGATGACTGGTAAAAGAAACTTTGGTACATCTACACAATGGAGTACTATGTAGCTGTTAGAAAAGATGAGGCATGAAATTTACATACAAGTGGTACTACCTGGAAAGTATCATGCTAAGTGAAATGAGTCAGAAAGAGAGGGATAGACGTAGAAAGATTGCATTCATCTGGGGAACATAAAGTAACAAAATAGGTGACTAACACCCAAGAATAGCTGAGGTTAGTTTCAGGAGGTTTACTCCATGGCTTAGAGACCAGTCACACATGATAGGGGAAACAGCAGCTCAGATAGAGAAGGGAGCACCAAACAAAGGCTGTTGAGAGCATCCTCCCAGGATGGGAGAAGCATGCTGAAAGTAGACTATAGACTGAACATGATTGCCACTCAATGCCTGTTTTGCAAACCACAACACCCAAAAGGAGAGAGAGAACAGAAAGTTATTCCCTGCCACAGAGGCAGGATGGGGGGCATGGGGGGCTGGAGGGATACTGGGATCCATGGTGGTGGAAAATGGGCACTGGTAGAGGGATGGGTATTTGATCACTGTATAATTGAAACCCTAGCACAAATATGTGTAAGTCTACAACTGTACCTCATGGTGTTTCACTAATAAAATTTTTTTTAAAACCCTGTAGCCTAGTAACTTCTTCTTTGACCTTTGCACACAACTGGACAGATTGTGGCCTTTTTTTGCCACCTCATGTATGCCCCAAGCAACAGCGGAAGAGTAGGGTCTCCACCATGCCTATGTGGTTATGACTAGAGAACTATGGAAAGCCTACGGAGCACTAAGTCACTGGGTCACAAGCCTCGAGAGGTACTCTGAAGCCCCAACAACAGATGGCAGATAAGCACCAATTATAGGCTACTAAGCATCAAGACAGACCATCAGTAAACTTCAAGAGACAGAACCCTTGAGAGACCAGCATGATACACAGGAAACTGCCTGGAACCAACATAAGGCTGGGACACACATCATCGGGGTATCCAAAACTACCTTCCTAAGTCTCTTAAATAAACAACTTCATAAGTATTTGGAGTTTGTATGCAAATCTTTCATTCGAAATTTAAGGGCCAACTCATGAATAAATCCATATCCAAGATACACTCTCGTGGTTTCTTTCATAGCCCTTCTGCTTGTGTGTCATGTATTTTGCCTGCTTAATATGAAAAGAATTACCTACACCCAATTGCAAGTGGGAGTGTTTGGAGGTTTCCTCACAGCAACAAGTAATTTTCAGAAACTAACTGGGTATCTGAATATTCAATCCAATTCAACTTGACTCTGAAACCATCTACCCACAGTTAGCTTTAGGTTACACAGGAAAAAGATTCCTTCTCTCATAAGATGGGCACTGCCTTTCAGACACATGTCACAAACCAAGGCTATAACTTCCAGCTGGTTATGAATTAGAGATTCCATGTACTCCTTCCTCCATTTTTTCAACTTGGAAACACCTGGCCCCAGAACTTAGAAGACTGTTTACCAAAGATGACCACCCATTTGTTGCAAAGGATATAAAAGGATATTTGTATGAAAGGATACAAATCAACAACAAAAGGAAGAAATACATAGGGCAAGCTCTCAAACAAATAAGTTTCTTTCCTCCTATAGGGCCAGTACAGTGGCATCATGAAGCACTAAACTTCCCTAGTATGGAAGTTCCAGCCCCATTCTCTTGAGTATTTAATGAAGGTCTTATTACTGAAGGATGACTGATTAATTCATTGGCCATTGGTGACTGAACTCAATTTCAAAACCTTCCCGTTCCCTGGAAATCTGGAGGTATGACAAGATTAGACCATATAACATAAGGTTGAAATAATGTTCGTTTTCTTGGCATCCATCCCCATCCCCAGGAGTTTTCCAAAAAGTAGTCTCATGCACTCAAGAGATATTTTTATCGCTCATGACACTTAGAAAATCCCAAGATTTTGGACCTTGGAAGCAAGAACTACGGCTTAAAAGCAAACACATATAAGAAATATATTTTTTTCATCTAAGTGACCAAACATTTATTTTCTTTGTCTTTATTTTTCTGTATATTTTTTCTAATAAATCACAATGTTGTAATGTTCTCGTCTATGTTTCTAAGTTAGCTGAATAAATGGCCACTTTATTCCATTTTGTTCACTGACATATCACCTGCAATTGCTAATGTCTAGTAATAGTTCCCATGCAATAAACAGTTTCTTAAACAGAAAAAGAGAAGATCCTTAGAAAGAGGTCACGTGAGGATGCAGGAAGAGATTGGAGTTTTGCTGATAAAAAAAATACAAGGAACACTGGAACAACCCAAAGCTTAAAGGAGAGAGAAAAAGTCTCCTCTAAAGCTTCCAGAGAAAATGTGGTCTTGCTGACATCTGCATTTCAGACTTCTGGCCTTCAAATGTGAGAAAACAAATGACTGCTGTTTTAGCAAATCCACTTGTGGTAAATTTTTATGGAAGTCCTAAGAAATCAACATTATATTAAGTTGCTTTTCTTTAAAAGTGATGAAGAAAACATTTTCCTTCTGGATTTTAGTTTTCTTTTAGTTTTCTATATGTATTAATAATAATTAAAGGTAAAGTAAAGTCCCTCCCGTTGATCATCGATTTAATCGAGCAGGCCCAGTAACGTCTCCATTGGAGACTTTGTTGTTACTGTGTCTGGCATATCGAATACTCTCGGTAGCTTGCCGGGCTCTCCGAGAGGGGTGGAGGAATCGAACTCTAGTCGGCCATGTTGGCTGCGTGCAAGGCAAACGCCCTACCCACTGTGCTATCGATCCAGCCCTAATAATAATTAATTCACATAAAAGATACTTTAATAGAAAAAAACAAAATAATTTGCTACTTCAAATTTTCAGATTTTATAAACAGATTTTATAGGGCTGGAGCGATAGCACAGCGGTAGGGCGTTTGCCTTGCACGCAGCCAACATGGCCGACCCGAGTTCAATTCCTCCGCCCCTCTCGGACAGCCCGGCAAGCTACCGAGAGTATTTGATATGCCAGACACAGTAACAACAAAGTCTCCAATGGAGACGTTACTGGGCCTGCTCGAGCAAATCGATGATCAATGGGAGGGCCTTCTATAAACAAAAATGTAAATATAATATATATTTTAACTACTTCAAATTTTCAGATTTCATAAATAGAAATATATACATACATATATAAATTCACTTTTTAACAGATACTGAAATGTAAGTAAACCTGTGCATTTCCATAAGTAAAATATTAAATGACTTGCATTGATTCTAGATAATGCACAGTCCCTTTTTTTATTACTTAATTTTGACTATATGCTCCTCTGTGATCTTTTACATATATAAAAATAAAAACAATGAAGAAATTATAATAAATTCCCATAAAGTGTTGAAGAAATCAGATTGAAAAAATTTATGGTGGTTTTTGTTTGTTTTGGAGGGGTTTAGTTTCATTTTTGGTTTGGGAAGTCACACCTGGTTGTGCTCAGGTCTTACCCCTAGTTCTGCAGTCAGGAATGATGTCTAATAGGACGTAGGTTTGATATGTGGGTTCCAGGAATCAAACCCCGGTTTACTAGCTGCAAAGAAAACATCTTACTGCTATACTAACCCCTAAGCTGTAATTTTAACTACACATAAAATGTTACTTTTACTATATTTCTGGCACATAATCACGGCAGAGTCTGGCAAGCTACCCGTGACATATTCGATATGCCAAACATAGTAACAACAAGTCTCAAAATGGAGACATTACTGGGCCCGCTGGAGCAAATCGATGAATAACGGGAGGACCGAATCTCCTTAAGGAGTTGATGAAATCCTTTTTTCAATCAAAATATACTTAGAAAAATTTTATGAGGAAAATTTTGCGTAATGTGTCTGGCAAAGGCCCCTTGAAATTCACTCATAATTTCTCTGGTTCAGCCTTCCAGGTTAAGATTATCAACATGAATTTAGGAATTGTTGAGACAGTTGATAGATGTTAATATGATTTTTGAGTGTTATGCACACTCTCCATATAAATTACCATGGTTATTTCTTGACACCTTAAAATTATTTTGCAAAAAATAAGATTTTAGTAGTATTAACAACAGTGCTCTCTCTTATAGCACATATTAGAGGAAAGTATTAATAAAGTCATTAAGAATTCTTCCAAAATATAATATATTTTCTTCTTAACCATAGTATTCATGTGTGTGAAATAATTCCTTCCAAATTTTTGAAAGTAAACTTTATAGTGAAAGAACAGAAAAAGGGAAATTCAATAGAGAGAAGTCTAGTTCACAAGTTGTTTTGATACATGAACTCCAAAAGGTCAGGTGCTCCTAATGGGGAAAGTGTTTCCAATGAACTTGAATAAATACCTCATCTGTCATTAGGGTTGCAATTGATCTGCCAATCTCATGGTACTGCTGACCCTTTCCAAGGGGTCCCAGAAGAATGAACAAAAATCTGCAATTAAAAAGAAAAAAATCACCATGGTTTCAAAAGAGAAACATAAAAATAATTCTAGTAGAACAGAAGCATTCATATCAAAGGAATTGCTGGAGATGGGGGCTTTGAGGTATTATATTTACATATTTTTTACATCTGATTATTATGAAACATTTTTAAATGAATATTATGCTAAAGCTCCTTGAACCATGGAAACTCATGTTATTTGGTATCTCGGTGTTTTCCCTACTTATTTACACAGTTGTCAGTGAAAATTTTTCTACCTTTTTAAACCTTCTCCTTTTATTTTTTTGAGTATCTTCTCCAATTCTAGGGTAATAAATTGGCCCTGTGCTTTCAGTACTCAGGGCCAATGATGCAGAGCTGCTGGGGCTTGGAAGTGCTAGGCTAATACTTCAGGGCTACTACATTTGCAGGGCTCAAAGGGTCATGCAGTGACAAGGATTGAATTTAAAGCCTCATGCATAATAGGCATAACCCCTTACAATTAGGCTGTCTCTTTTCCCATTAGTGAGAATCTATTCTATCATTTTTCAGAGTAGAAAACAGAGACAGATCAAGCCTTTCTGAGTTGGAAGGAAGATAACTCACTAACATGCACATTGTAATAGAAACAGACAATACAGGAGTATAAGCAAAAAGAGAGCATGTGGTCAAAAAAGTCAGTATATATAAGATTTGCATTACATAGAAAAGATTATTGTCAGGAATCAGACAGGAAAAGAAGTTGGGGGCATGCTGATGACTTCCAATACTGGAGGAATAAAAATATGAGGTATACTGCAACATTCTAACTAAATAAGCGTGAAAGTCTGGCAAATACATCATCATAACTGAAGCTGTTCAAGAAACCAGCATATGTCCTTACTTTGGAGATCCTGGTAACTATCTCTGAAAAGTTCAGTGCTACAGGGAATTGTGAAACTTAAAGAATGCTTCATAAACTGCCATGTTATTCAGTAGTGTTAATTTGTTAAATGGCTCATGCTATTAAATATGAAGATTTTAGAAGTTACTGTAAAATAGAAACTATAATCAGGTCGTCTATTTCTAAATCTTAGAAACTGTGGAAGTTTCCCTGGAAGCACGTACTACATAGTCTTAGAGAATCCGAGTTTTTTGCAACATTTGTAATTGAATTCAAATTAATTTATATTACATAGAAATGTCCAGTATACATTTAAATAGGGATAGTTTAATGTGCTGGCAAATGCTTTATCAGCTATGATACTTTTAAGAAATTTTCTAACTTGTGATAATCTTGCTATTTTTCAGCTTTTCAGTTTCAGCCTATTCATTGACTATTTATAAAATTCTAAAAGATTATTTCTGACATTTCTACTATGTGTCACCATTATTTCAGTCAGTCCTTTTGGTCTCCTCAGGAAGAATAATGAGGAAACTTGAAGGACTTTCTTTATTCTATTTGTCTAACTAATACTCTTCGATTTTTCTCCTTTCTAAGTGACTTCGTCTCTTCTCAGAGCGTATCTCTATGATGCCCCCAATTTTCCCTCATTATTGACTGCAATTACTCTGCTCTATCAGTATAAAATGAGGTCACCTAAACCTTGACAGTTTCCACAGCGAGAGTGTATAACCCCATTATGGTTTTTCTCTACTTCTGGGAATTTTTCTTTTCCTTCCTAAGAAATACCAAAACTAGCATGGCCATAAATAGCCACCCTTTATTCTGCTTTCATCAGATGCCTTCCCAAATGGTGGAAGGAAAATATACTGCTGGCAAGTCTGAAAGTTAAAATTTGGGATGCAGCGGTTTCCAAGAAATCCTCAGGGGCCACTCCTGACTAATTTGGGTCACCCAGGAAGACTCAGGTCTGGTAATGTGATGCTGCTCAGGCCGTATGTGCAGAGAGTAACCAGGGCAATCCCAGAGATACTTTGGTGCCTACAGAGTCAAACCGAGCAGTGCAACTCGGGAAACCCTCGGCAGAGCTTGAGGGATCATTCAGTGCCAGGGATCAAATTCGGGGCCTCACACATGCCAGGCCTATACACCAACCTTTTAAGTTATAACAATGCCTCTACAAAAAATATTTGCCATCTTGAATCCAAATCCAAAATTCTCCAAAGCTCTTAATAGTTCAAAGCTAAGGGTTATATATAGGACAGCAGAACCTTTAACATAGTCTGATGCTACTTTAATGTATCTGATTTGTCCTTCCTTTTTTATAAATAAAGGTTGATTGATACATATCAGAAATTTTCCAACAGATTGGATGTCTTTCTATAAACTGAATGACACTCATGTTCCTGCCACAAACTATAGATAAAACATAGGTACTAGAACATGCAATATCTCATTCTAATCAATTGAGCTCTTAAAAAAGAAAACCTCAAAAAATAAATAAATAAAGGCCCTCAGGTTTGGGGTATAGTACATGAGTTAAGGTGTTTGCCTCATACACAGATGACCTGAGTTCAATCCCCAGTCCCCAGCAACCCTTAAAGTCCTTTGAGCCCTTCTAGGAGTGATTCCTAACCACAGAACCAGGGGTAAGTCCTGAGCACAACCAGTTGTGCCTTCATAATCAATAACTTTAAAAGGATACCTCTCAGCCACAGCAGGAGTATAGCAGGGAAGGTGCTTGCCTTGCATGTGTCTACCAGGATTTAATCCCGAGCACCACATATGGTCCCCAAAGCCTGCCAGGAGTGATCCCTGAGTTCAAAGCCAAAAGGAAGCCTTTTGCACTGCTGCATGTGGTCCTCCATAAAAGCAGGAGGCATCTCTGAGCAAACTATTCCATTTTTTTAATCCAAGTACAGAATGAGATAATACACTATGTTTTGAGTTGAGATCAAGGGCCTAGAAAAGATATTCTACAAGCACATTCTACAATCCACTTGCTGTAGCACGTCAATTTTTCAGCATTTTAACTTGGCTAATACAAAGTTTGGCAGAGGATATATATTAACTAGTAGCTGTGACATCAGATGAAAGGCTCTAGTCCTGTGAGAAATGGGGAAATACAGCACTACACATAGAGGCTTTTACTTTGGGAGTAGGATCAAGTGAGAAGTCTGACTAATTGTCTAAAATATTTGCATGGAAGTAAATAAAAAATATAAAACACTGTCCTGTAGTGAGTTGCTAAAATCATAGCCTGCCAAATTCAATAATTCTTTTTTCTGTTCATAATCACCTATGACTAATGTTATAGCAATGAGATTGATTAAACGTGATTAAAAACAATTCAGTTTATAGTTTCTCTAAGTTATCAGGTCTTATAATGAAAAGAAAATAAATTCAAGAACTAAAAAGTTTGAACCTTTTATGTGATTTAATCATATTGTGCTGTCACTAATGGTTATTAATACTCTGTATGGGAAGGGTTGTAAACGTAGAACAGAAATACACAATACATTAGCTACAGCAGATTTTGTCCTATAAATGGTACTTACATTTTCATTCTAGGCCCACTTACTCAAGCATAACTTAGGCTTTGGGTGTTCATCTTTTTGGAGTTTTCCCACAATCTAATGCAATCTTTTTAGAAAAGGTTAACACTTTATCACTTTTTTCCAGCTTAGTAAAAAAAGAATTCATGTCATAAGAGGGAGCAGCTTATTTAGAGATAAGTACAACTTGAAATAGAAGTTTGAGAGGAAGGAGGAAAAGACAGAGCAATTAATGAAAAACTATTTCCTCTCCTCCACAACAAGGAGAAACATTTGGTACATTACATGCTATTTTCCAGAAGAAACTCTCAGAGGAAATTATATTTACTCTTTTCTCTTTTTCCACAAAAAATATGGTATAAGACTAACACAGGAGATGCTCTTATATTTTTTACCTGGTTGGAATTGGAACTTCAGCCAGTCCTTGAAGCAAAACAGCTGGAGACAACCTGACAAATGCAACTACTGTTCTATCCAAGAACTCCAATTCCCCAACTAAGATGTTTGAAGCTTCAGCACCGGGAGGAATCTTTTTCATAAAATGCAGATCAACCTGTGAGCATCGCAAAATAACAGATTAAAATTAGAAAAAATTGTATGTCATATTCTAGCAAGTCTTTCTCAAGAGGAAAGTCATAAATAAATAAGTTAAAATAAATGTAAATTAACATAACCTAAATATACATTTTTAAAATTATTTTAAATAAGCATCTAGTTTATTCATTAAAATAAGAATTTTTTTCTTTACTTGTGTGTCTTCTAACTTGTGGCCAATAATCTCAATAATTCATCAAAAAATTATAAAATTGAATTTTAAAATGCAATATTTTAAAAAGAAGTTTCTTGAGCATTAGCAATTGAAATTTGCAGGAAGAAAATAGTATATTTTCAATGATCTGAATACATTAAAATCACAGTTTAATTATTTGCCAATATTTTAAGTATTTTGAGCCACATTATATTAACTTTATATACAATGTCTAATTTTAAAAAATATGATCAAATTTTTCCATTTAGTATAGATTATGACATAAGTCTTCATTTTTAATTTTAATTGTTCTATATTATTTAATTCTATGTTTGGTTTGATCATGCTTCAATTTTAACTTCTCATCACACAATTTAGATATGGCCAAGTAAAGAAAACAAAAATAAAGTATTGACATGTGTCATTACTAAAAAGCCATGATTGAATTGCTAATGAAATGTTTGTGACTGAAATGAATGTACAAAAAAATAAAAATGATCATTAATAGAGGAAATTGTTGGAGTAATATGTGAAGTCTGAAAAAGAAAAGCAAAATATTCTTGAGTAAATATTGATTTTATTATACTGCCTCAGTGAAAAGCAAGCAGTAATGTTTAAAAAACTACTTTTTGTTCTTAAATCATTTTGAGTGCTTTAAATAAAAATCTATTTGTAGTAAGAATAAGAATTTGTATCTTCTTACTGGTATTGCGTGCAAATGTTGTAAATGGGCCAAAAATCAAAGTGTATATAGCCCACTGAGAGGGAAAGGAGCTCAGCAAACATGGGTGAAGCTGAGAAAACATTTTAAGTTGACAGTTATTCTGCAATTTAATTACTTGATCACAATTTGGCTAGGAAGTTTATTGGAGGTGAGAACACCCATAAGAACTCGGGGACTAATCCTGGGTCTGTGCTCCAAAGTTAACACCTGACAGCGCTCAAGGTGTAGTGCTGGGGTGTAGTGCTGGGTATCAAATTGGAGTTGGCTACATGGAGTTGGCAAGTACCTTGTATTATCCCTTCTACCTGCTTAGGAAGTTTAAAGAGAAAACAAAAACAAAAAAGAAAAGAAAACTTACAGGAGGAATACCTTATAAGTTCATAATCAGACTTTAATAACTAAATTAAATGTTCTGTCTTTGAAATAAAAACTTCAACAAACTATTTATAAAGCTTATAACTACTTAATTTTCCTGTAAATAAGAGTGCCTCAATATATAAAACCATTATATGATGCATGCATTTAATTGGATAAGCATTAGATATAATAATCTGCATTATTTCACAAAATCAAATAAGACACTATTCTAATTAGTGAAAAAGAACAATGAGTTCATAAACCAAAACTTTCTATTAAAAGTATGACAAATATCTTAAGTTCCAAAGTTTATAATCAACAAACATAATCCTAAATGAATGTGTAAGCGCACAAAGCATACATACTCGGATACAAAATGGCAAGTATTTCCCTTTAATAGAACCTAACTTTTTAACAGAGATAACAAAAGCATTGATCTTAATTATCAAGAATTAAATTTAATGAAAATTATCATATTTTTCCATTTGTTTTTCTAACCAGAATAAATGCACACAATGAAAGTTCTTTCAATTAATAATGCTTTACAATTTCATTATAATACATAAATGCTAAGTGAGAGAATAAAAAACTACCCATGTACCTTTAGTCTATGAAAAAAACATACTAGAGCTTCATAAGTTTTTCAAAGCCTAAAAGGACAACACATAAATAAGTTCAGGGGCTTTTTAGATAGCACAGCCAATAGGATGCTTGCCTTGCACGAGGCTAATATGGTTAGATACCCAACACATCTACAGTCTCCTGAGCCCCACCAGGAGTCATTCCTAACACAGAGGCAGTAGAAAGTCCTGAATACTAAAAGGGGTTGGGAATTCCCTGTTTTTAGAAATAATACAGCAGGCAAGACTCTTGCTTTACAAGTAGTTGACACAGGTTTGATTCCCTGCACCACATATAGTGGTCTTCTATATCTTTCTATGGGCTGGAGCGATAGCACAGCAAGTAGGGCGTTTGCCTTGCATGCGGCCAACAAAGTGGACCCGAGTTTCATCCTTCTGCCCCTTTCAGGAAGCCCGGCAACCTACCAAGAGTATCTCGCCGCATGGCAAAGCCTGGCAAGATACCTCTGACGTATTCGATATGCCAAACACAGTAACAAAGTCTCACAAAGTTACCGGCCCACTGGAGCAAATAGATGAACAACGGGAGGACAGTGACAGTGACAGTGATCTTTCTATAAGTTATAAATGTTATAAACTTTCTATATCTCGTTGTTTGACAAATACCCTACCTTTATCTACTGAAGTCTGTGCTTCAGCAAGATAGCAATAATACAAATTAATGTTTAAATGCAATGTAACAAAATCAAGTAATACATAGAATATGCCTAGCTGATTTTATAGAATAAAATATATGGCCCGTACATGTTTTCCTTTATTTCAAAATTTTCAAAATGTCAGTCATGGGTAGCTCTCCAGGCTTTGCCGTGCAGATGAGATACTCTCAGTAGCTTAACGGGCTCTCCACAAAGGGTGGAGGAATCAAACTCGGGTGACTGGGTCAGCCGTGTGCAAGGCAAACGCCCTACCCGCTGTACTATAGCTCCAGCCCTCCAAATATAGACACAGAAGAAAATTCTTCAAACATGAAAAGTAGTATAAAGTCTTCTTTGAGTCATTTGAAATAAAAGAAACAGCCCTCAACACTTAGGAAATACTAAAATAGTCATCTTGTACATGTCAATTAAGGGTGAAAAAGCAGACGTAGAGTGTGTCAACACATCTGCTCTTTTAAAATCTTATAAGGAGCAAAAAAATCTGACAACTCAGATTATATTTTTTAAATGTCCCTAAATGAAGAAATTTGATGGGCCTATCAATTGTATTGGTTTAAAATATATTAAATGATTAGGTCAAGAGATATAGCTAAATAGAAGAGCACATACCTTGCCATGTATTCAATCCCTAGCACCATAAAAACAGTACTTAGATCACATGTATATCGAAAACAGGATCAAGTCACAAGAAAGAGTAAAGTGTTGTTTTCCTTTAACACCTCAAAGTTTTACTGGTTTGGAATATACAGATAAAAACTTAAATGGACAAATTAAGTCTAAAGACTAGCTGAACTTTGATCGGTCCTACAAAAATGAAACCAATAGGGTAAGAAACTTTAATTCAACTTTCAAAAAAAAACATGATTAAAACTTGTTTTCATAATAATTGTTCTGGAACCTGAAAGATAGTATCCAGCAGGTAGGAAATTTGCCTTGAGTGTGGCTGACCCCAGGTTGGATCCCTGTCCTCATATAGTCCCGAGCCCTGCCAGGAGTGAACCCTGAGTGAAGAGCAAGGAGTAAGCTCTGAGAACCACAATATGTGGCACCCAAAATAACAACAAAAACAATAATAAATTATAATTGATCATATTGGTGTTTTCCAAGTCCTACAAATTTGTCCTCCAGGATCATAAAATTATAGCAACACTGTCCTCCCGTTGTTCATCAATTTGCTCGAGTGGGCACCAGTAACGTCTCACAACAAATTGTGAGACTTGTTGTTACTGTTTTTGGCATATTGAATACATCGCGGATAGCTTACCAAGCTTAGCCGTGCAGGCGAGATACTCTCAGTAGCTTGCCAGATGAGAGGGATGGAGGAATCATATCCGGGTCGGCCACGTGCAAGGCAAATGCCCTACCTGCTGTGCTATCACTCCAGCCAAGTGGTCTAAGGTGCCAGACTCAAGTTCATAAAATTATAGACTTAATTTTTCCACACACACAAAAGAACTAAAGGCAAAAATTAATTTAAATCTCTCAGAACTCATTCAATAAATATAACCAAAATGTTCAAAACCCTATAGAACTAGTGGAAGTTAATATCTACTAAATTCTGGCCTAGTTTTTTTAAACAAATTTTGACTATTTCCACTGATTAACAACAATGATATTAGTAATAATGAGCCAGAGACCTCAGTGGGTGGGAACACAGATTTGCATGCAGGAGGCCCAGGTCCAATCCCTAAGTACCAAGCAGGAATAGTCTCTGAGCACCACTGGGTGTGGACCCAAAATAGTACTAATTCTTATCATTTCATTTAAAAACTAGTATTTGCTCCATTTCCATCAGGCACTCTATATCATTTAATTTTCAACAGAAAATAGCATTATTTTGCAATTCAAAAGTAAACTATTCTGAATAGTTTATCCAGGAAGAATAAACTATTAAATTCTGTGTGAAGTCTAGTTATTCTATTTACTGTAAGAAATACTTTATGCCAAGTGGCTAAAACCTGTAGACTACTCATAAAACTACCACACTTGGTTCTTTGAATAAGCAAAATGTTACACGTGAACTTAAATGCTAGCATTACTTATAACAGTATCAAGTATTGACTAAGAAACACTCCAAAAAGTCAGAAGATTTCCAAGACAGTATTTAAATGCCAGAGGCAGAAATTTGCCTAATTTGCCTAATTTGAATGTAGTGATTGTAGATGCAATAAGGAAGAAAAGTTCTAAAGGGGAAAAAAATCTATTTTTTCAGCATACTGTAGCTGTTTGGAGGAACCTGAAGGTGTCTGCAGTTTCCTCTTGGCAATCTTCATTTTCTTTCAAATGTGATAAAGCATATTTGAAAATTGCAAAGATAGGTCAAACAATTAAATGCAAAATGATACGAAGATACAAAATCAATGTCAAAAGGCTATAGCTTTTAAAAAGTTAAAAGGTAATTTATCTGAAAGGATGAGATTTATTATCATTATTTTTGAGAATGTTAACTTTGCTCTTGTTATACTGTTAATGCTTATAAAATAAGTAAGCAATGTGCATGTCACTGCTTTCAAATATTGTTATAAATGAAGAACATCAAAAGTTAAATGTATGGTAGTTTGTGACAATTTTATTCCTTCTGCAGATGAATGAAGATGTAATGTTTTGAAAAGATATTTTTTTTTAGAGCAGCAAATGGAATACATTTGAACTTGCTTAGTAATTGAGTGGCATGACTCCAAAGGGTGAAATGAGCTTTGAACCACTGTAGAAACAGAGTCCAGGTATGCCCTCACCTCTCTCTCTTGCGGGTGTGGAGGTCCTTTTTCATGCTTTTGTTTCATCCCACATGGACTAGTGTGCCCCTTTTGTTGGCCTCCCAGTCCCTGCACGCATAATTAACAGACTTAAGCTGGTACACCATGCTCAGAGACATCACCAGGCACCAGAGGGAGAGCATGCACACACACAAAAAAACTAGCACTAGACCATTAGGCACTGGCGGAGAGACTGAAATAGCAACAAGGATCTGGTGGCTATTAATCTTTTCTTGAAGGTTGATGGAGGCTACTCCCACTCCCATCTCTTTTCACAATGTTATAATCATTGCCAGTGATAGGGCTTGATGGAAAAAAGAATTACTATTGTTTGAGCCACTTAGATAAAGATAATATTAATCCCCCTTATTTGGGGTAAATACTGAAAGCATTCTTTCCAATTTCAGTGATTGTTTGCCATAGCACACACATGTCAGGAATTTGCTAGTGAAAATCACATGATTTTCACCGGCTATTTTTTTAAATTTATGAATATATTCAAGTAGTGATTTTGTTTGAACAGTCTCCATATTAGCTATAATCTTCAAAGGAGATAGTCTTTATTATCTTTTTTCTTCCAAAACTTGGCTCCATTTTACATTATTCTAGTAATTCCTTGGACTAATACCATTCTCTGAACTATGACAGTAAGGTTTTATGAGATTTACTTTTATACAAATATATAAAAGTGGTTTTGGGGAAAAACTAGCAAGAGTTTTGAAGAATAAATTATTAAATTCTACGTGGTCTAGTTATTCTTTGTACTGGAATAGATACTTTATGCCAAGTGGCTTAAACCTGAAAACTACTCATAAACTACTCATACAAGTTATACAGGTGGTTCTGTGAATAAGCAAAATGTTACATGTGAACATAGATGTTAGCACCACTTATAAAAGTATCAAGCACTAAGAAACAAAAAAATGTGCATGCAAAAGTTGTGTCAACATTCCTTAAAATGGGTAATGCTTTCTAGTATTAATTCAGTGGCTTACTTAAATAAGAGGAAGAAAAAAGCTTACCTTGCTAAAATCAACGGTGCTGTTTTCCCTGCTCACATCATTTTTATTTTCAACACAGGCTAAAGCAGATTGAGGAGAAACAACCTGACCTGCTAAAAGAGATTGTTATTACAGAATACAAATAGTTACTTACATAATTGTGACATGAAGTGAGATATGATTTAAACTAGACTAACAGATTTCTTAATGAGTTTATGAGGTAAGCATGAAGGGCCAATATAAATTGATCTATGTCAATACAAAAACTTCTCATCAATAACAGATAGAAATGGGAGAATACAGTAAAAAAAAAAGTCAACCAAATCTCAGGCAAAAATTTTAAGTGGTCATTCTGAATAAACAAGATTGCCTATAAAAATATGTCTATCTCATCATGATTTTGAAATATCATTAACCTATACATTTTGTCTATAGCATAATATATTTAATACATGTATTGGGAGAGAAAACTGACATATTTTATGATTTAGGCTTAGAGCTTAGACAGAAGAATTGGACATGAAAAGTTTATAAAAGGCTAGGAGATGGTCAAGTGGTAAAGCACATACTGAGCATATGTAATGTTAATGTTAATCCCAATAACAGGGCTCCCAAGTACCACCTGGAATAAACTTGCTAGGCCCCAAATTTTGCTCTGTGTGGCCACTATAAAAGGGAGATGAATATTATTTTTGAAAAATATCCATAATATCTATATTTCTATCACCTATGAAAAAATAAACAAGAGAAAACTTGTTTGACAAGAACTTTTAAGAGATTTTCATATGAGAGTTTCATTAAAAAATACATTTACCTCACATATTAGGAACAATGTAAATGTGACTTTATGATTGTTCAATTCAGTGGCACAGCCTACTGATACTGGTCTGCATGAGAAAAGATAATATATCTGAATTGTATTTGTTTTCCATTAACACTAACTGGAAATCTAATTATTTTATCATCTTTATTCAGTTGTAAAGATTATGGTATTTTGTAAAGATTACGTAAAGATAATAGGAAAGATTATGGTGTTAAGTAAAAAGTAGAGTTAGAAATTTGACAATGATTAGCAAAGGTTTAGTCATTGTTAAAAAAAATCTTTGCAGTCTTAACGCATCTGATATCTGTCCATGTTTAACAATTGATTGAAGAAAATTAAAGGATCTTGAGAATATTTCTTTTCTAATCACTCCATGGCCTTCCAGGTTACTTTTTTCTGGGAAATGAGTGATGACTTTCATAAGGAACATATTTGTGAAGATTGTTATTCAGTGAATCCAAATTATAACTCTGATTCACAGTAGTTTTGGACATTTGAAATGCTCTTTCTTTCTACCTAACTCTTCTGCATAAAAACTAACCTTATTCAATGTTTAATAACAGACCCATCTCCAATTTCTGCTGTCTGCACTTAATTGAATTTCTCCAAACCATTAGTGAATGCACAAACAAAACTTTTATTTAAATTCAATTACTCTTTGGTAACTTGAAATATATTAAATATGACTAAAAATACAATATTTTTAAATAATACTATACTTTTGCTCTGGGGATAATAAACTTCTCATTGAGGGGTCATTTATTAATAAAAACATTTTTTATAATTTAAATTTGCTGTACTGTCAGAATTGAATGAGCTTAAGATTACTTGGAAATTTCTGTATTTCTCTGCTTTTACTAAATATAGCACAAGAAAACATTTGGTAAAGATTTAAAATGTAACTCTTTAAAGTGAATTCACCTCAAACCAAATATACAAATTCTACTTATAGCATATTCCAAGTAACACAGACTAGAGAAATGACAGATTTAAGTTGCATCAAATATTTTTATTCTCCCATTTCTAATTGCAGTGTGCAGCTATGACTGTGAATTGTTCATTAGCAGCCATTTAATTTATCATTCTCAAAATAATAAGTGTAATTTTTAAAAAACCTTTTACATAATGCATTTGTGTTACTAACAGATGTCTTCAATCACCAGTTTCACATCATTTCTCCATATTTTCGTAAGTTAGAACGTTATATTTAAACCTAAATTTACTGAATATTCTGTAAAATTGACTAATTAAATTCAAGGCATGAAAAATTATATAAACATATATCTGATTTCTTGTAGTGATTTGCTTCATATACTATTAAAGTACATGAAAAATAGTTTGATCAAACACATACAAAAGGAGAGTCAACATAAAGCAAATAACCAATTTTGAAGAGACTGAATTGAATAGTAACTAAGACATGATTTCAAATTTGAAAAAAAACAAATAGTGCGTTCCATATACATATATTAAAAAAGAATTATTTTATAAATTAGCTTCAAGTCATGCAACATATTTTCAACATTGACACTTGCAGTTCTTCATATAGTTTTAGAAAGCACATGAATTACAGTCTAATGAACTACTGGGTATCTCATAAATTAATTTTTATACCACTCATCAACTACAATATTTATTTTAAAACTAATTTAAATTTTCTTTTGTATTCTCCATTTTGTTAGTTCAGCTTTGGCCCATAATCATCAGTGCTCAGGTATTATTCCTGGTTCTGTACTCAGGGATCTCTGCAGGGCTCAGGGAACCATGCACAATGTCAGGAGCTAAAACCCACTCAGTAAGTGCCTTACCCACTGTACTATCTCTCAGACCTTAAATACTTATTTCTTTAGGTTATTCCAAATATTACATATCAGAAGAAGGTAATAGAATGGATTTCAAAATTATTTTTAATTGATTGTTACATAAGAAATGTTAGTAAACTAGGTTCAGAAAAGACATCCTAATTTTCCCAATGACGTCTAAACCAATAGCAATTTATAAAAAGACAAATTTCATGTACAAGATTCCATTCTAACCAGATATGGATGTTTTTCATTTCAAAAAAATCCAAAAAAATTGCTATTATATCTTTGCCCCACAGGCAAAATAATATATAGTTGGAATTCACCATTCATATATGCGTGGAAGCTTTATAAATGTTAACTATTTGTGGTTTTGTTTCTAATTACTATGCTACACCTATAAACAAAAATTCTTCATTCATTTCTTTCTCCTTTTTATAAACCTATTTCTCTCTTTATTATTTCTGAGGATCCCCAAGCACTGATCAGGAGGTTCAGGGGCTATTAACAGCTATACTCAGTCAATTGGACCAGAAGGTTCAAAGCTAGGGATCAAGGATGTAGCCATGGCGACTAACAGGGCCTAGGTGCTGTGGGTAGGTCATGTGTTTTTTGGAATGGAACTGAGATCCTACACAAGCAAAGCATGTTCCCTTCACACTTATACTATCTCCTTTGCCCCCTCTTCTATATTTTATTTTCACTTTCACACAGGTCACTAATTATTTTAATACATCCGATAAGTGGATGCCATTACAATGTTTAATTCCATGAATTATTATTATATCTAAATAATTTGAGGGATCATATTACTATTATTAAGAAAGGATATTTAGTAACTCAGCAATGATAGCACTCTCCAGGTAATTATTTGATAACTGATGATAAGTATTATTTACTGGAAGTAGTATTTACTGGAAAGTATCTGAATATTCAAATTAAACATTCAAGAAATATAACATCTTCTTTAGCTATTTATTATAATTGTTTTCCAAGCTTTTAAACATAAATTGCTTATCACCTTAAATCCAAATTTCTAATACTTATTATAAATATCATTAAATAAAGATGCTATTAAATAATAGCATGTAGCATTCAGATTAGTCACTGAATTTTCCTGAATTAAGTTTTGCCCCTGGACCTCTTTGCAGAAGTCATATGTCAGTTATCTAAAAAAAAGTTGCCTTAGAGCACCTGTTTTAGAAGGGACAAGAATAGGATAAAATTATGAGTAATTTGGTGATTAGATAAGAAAAGTTTTTCTTTTCTTCTACGGAAATCATAATTTTTTTACTAAGTCTGCTGTACAACTGGAGTAATCATATCCCTCATCATAAGTTGTGGGGAGGAAAGTGAGATTACATCAGGAAGATCATATCATGACCTTAAGTGATGTTAATATCATTAAAGTATTGTTACTATTTAAATATAACTATAAATATGTTCTCAAATCATCTGCCAAATATTTTGCAAATTCATGTAAGTCTCTGCCTATAATTTTCTTTTTTAAATAAATTATGAACACCATTATTGGAAAACGGTAGCTTTTAAGTTTCTGTTTGGCCAAATTCAAATCAATAGTAGCAAATATATACATATATATATATATCTAAAGCATATCAGTATTCACTACTGATGAATCCACCGAAAATCATGTGTAATAGAAGGAAACTGGGATGAAGACATAAAGTACATTATTATTAACCTAGAGACCAAGCTGGTTTACACTACCTCAGAAACCTTCAATGCATTTAGAGTACCCAAAGGTTAGGAGATGAGGGAGGTACAGAGATGAGATGAGCCTGTTAGAGACAGACACAAGACAGAGCAAAATAAAGAAATAGAAAGATGAATGACAAGGTTACAAACATGTGCAACAATACATTTACTCATGGGAATAAAAAATATGAAGAAAGAAAGACCAAGTATTTAGAAAGTGTTGATTAGGTGAACGATACTTCAAAAACATGAAAGATATGTACATAACTGGGAGGAAAATAGTATGCCTTAAAATAATCCATGTAATATAAGAAATAACAAATTTAAATACACTTAGAAATATTTTTGCTGTTAAGAGTCTTGACATTCCAAAACACAGTAGAAACAATACAGCCTTGTCAACAATGTCACCTTGGTTTTGGTTGACGATCTTTTTTGGTACAGTGGAAAATACTTTCATCATACAATATCAAATTCTATCATTTTTATGAATCTTTAAATATGTGTATAATATAATTAATTATAGCTATTTTTCTTTTAAAAAGACCATTAAGAGGGTCAATTTTTAAACTCTAGTATTTTATGACACCACAGTATTTTAAAACACAAGATGGCATCTAAATATCTAAACACACACAAAAACACCATGCATCAAAAAATGAAACCACATTTGTAAAAGAAGTGATTATAAAATAAACTGACCAAAAAAAAGTCATAAAATTTATTCACAATACATACATGATGGCTCACATAAAAGGTCAATGTATATCCAATCCATATTATAAATCAATATTACAGCCCATTCTTATCTAATTCATAGCCAGTATATATTTTCTTAAATATAAATGTGTTACAGTCTGTAACTTTAGGAGTAAATCAGAGACCTCACACTCTAACTCATTTTGAGATTCTAAATAAAGTTATAGCTGGAAAGTCTTAAGATTAGGAGGGAGAAAACTATATGCAAAGAAATTTTAGAAAAGAAAAACTGAATGAAGACACCCTACTTCTAAAGAAACTAAGAATTCTAAACATATTTTAAATATAAAGTTTGTCACAAGGATAATGATATATTATACTAGACTTTAATCCAAATGTCCTCTAATGTAATTGAACATATGACCTAAATGATAAAATTGATACTTTTTGTTTTATAGATTATTTAATACTAGTCTTTGTTTTTTTTAAAAAAATTCTGCTAGTTTCTTTTACTTATTTTAAAATTCTAAATATATTTACTTTTACTACTTCTCACCCATATCCTTTTCAACGTTCTAATGTTAAAGAAAATATTGCTTTTCTATTATTTTTGCTGTTGTTTTGCCAAATGTAACTGTCACTTTTTATTGAAACATCAGAATCAGACATTTAATTCTCACAGTTTTGATGCTTAATGAAAAGTGAAAGTTAAACACAGCATGGTAGCATTAAAATTGCATGGTGAATCAATAGCATCTTGCATCTTAGCCCTTAAGAGAATGTGTAGAACATGGAAAAATAATTAAACGAAGGTAAAGCTAGTGTATTTGAAGGTGAGATTGACAAATTGCTACAAATCACTAAAATATGTTATAAGCTATAAATAGTGTGGATTTAGGAGGAGAAATATTCTTTTTACAAATGTAATCTATAAAATGGGGGAGATTCACATTAAAAATATAATTTCAATGTTTAGTTCTTATGACTACTACCGAGGGTGCATGCTTAAGGAACAAGTCAATTAAGGAAGTAGAAGCTTATTCTGCTTGGCTCTTTCAAACTTTACATAAACATCCATTCATTTCTGAGGAAATTCCAACTGCTTCATCTCCAAATTGTAAAAGTATATCCTTACACAAGAGAAAGTTTATTTGAAATGATCTGTCTCAAGTTTCTCGAAAGTATTCACTCTATTTAAATCCTATTTTATAACTTTATAAAGAAAAAGTCCATTTTTTTCATAGAATACTAAAATGAATTTTAGAAAGTAATAAGAATGCTATTTTTAAAAAATAAGTATTAATTTTTCTCTTGGCTGTCTTAAATACCTTTTATATATCTTCATACTATTGTACAGGAATTACATTTCTATTGCATACTTTGAAATAGATTGTAAAATCTATATTTATGGCAATGAATTTTAATTTGTTTGTTTATCCAGAGTTTGTCAGTTTTTTGAGTTCATAAGTAGATTGAGAAACTTAGTAATAAAGGTCTTTCACACTTTTTCCCACTTCTGGGTAGGAAATTTATTTCTAAATTGGTGAAGACTACACATATTTTCAGAATTCTCAACACACATAATTATGCAAAGTGTGTGAGGAAGCAAAACAGTCACAAGGAGGTGTTATAAACTTAGGCTTAGAGTACAACTTCTGACAGCATACTCTACAACAATACTTAATTGGATATAAGAATCTTATTAAAAATGTTTCCAAAAAAAAAGTTTCCAAGTTTTTATTACCCTAACGTATGCTACAAAAGGATCTGATATGTTCAGATAAAGGCTGATTGTACAGATGGTGACAGAATCACTTCAGATCTAATCATATTCTAGCTTTTAGAAAAACTAAGCCATTGCCTGAACAAGACAAAAAAGCAGCCTCTCAGAAAACTTTTTATCTATAAGAATCTATTTGTATACTTGTGATTTATGTTTGTAATTCTAGTATCTCCTGCTTTAGCAGACACGTAAAGCAGTAGCAAATAGTGTGTCAAAGTCTACAGAATATTACAATAAACCCAGTAATTTCAGTATATTTTTCCCTCAAAAAATGACAAAATTATTTTATAATAAAAATTATCACAATAAAAGTTGAGTTATAAATTTTGGATAGTTTATGACACAAGATCTTGAATTTTTGAATAAACACATCCTTCTTATAGAATTTTATTACTTGATTTCCAATAAAATCTGAAATGAAAGAGTAGCTTATTTTATGTTTATATCTATAGGGCATTCATTAGACCTAGTTCAAGTAAATATTTTAATAAGGTCTTCGAATTTACACTGTTGTGTAAATACAAAAGTTAGTGTAAATTTTATTAATATTATCTTACCAAAAATTATTTTTGCATAATATATTTTAATCAAAGAATTTAAAATTAAAATATATCATAAATATATGCTACAATTCAAAGCATGATATAATTCTCAAAATATCTGTTGAATCTATAAATACAAATTTATATAAACCATGAAGTGCTCATGATACATTCACTGAACTTAATATATGCATAATTACACACTCAAAATGAAAATGACACTGATTGTGAAAGAAGGGTCTTTTAAAACCTAAAGAGCTTCTCAAAATTCATTTTGCCATTACTAATTAATTTTATGTTCTAAGACAATAGTAATAGTACTACCTTCAGAATTTATTAAAGCATTTTTATTGATTTTCATATATAGTATTTAGTTGCATGAAACTTGTAAATAAATATCTAAAGGAAATTCATTTTCATGCATTTGTATTTAAAATTTTTCTGAAACCTTTGAAAATAGAAGTGAAGCTACATAGGACATTACACTCTATCAATATATATGCTTCAGTCCATTTGTGAAAATCTATCATCATTATAAAATATGTGAAAATACTTTTAAATTAATTTTTTCTTTAAATAGGGAACTTTTATGGTTGGTAGAAGTTAACAATTTTAAGACTAATTAAAAATGACAATAAGAGATTAAATAAGCAATTTCCTTATATAAATGATAATGGGACAAATGTGACCAAGTAGAGAACAAAACACAGAAGTGATAAAATGAGTCTTACGATCATACCATAGGCAATAATTCATTATTGCTAGAAAAAAAAGAAGGCCATCTATATTGGTAAGCAAAAATGTTAGAGTGGGGGGGATTTGTGGGCATTAAAAATGCAATATTACCAGTAGCAATGAACCCATGAACTGCAAATGAGGCTAATACAGTCAGGAGAGTTAATGAAATCTGTTGATTATGAACAACATGAAACCAATATAATTATTTCCACAAACACTAAATATTGTTTCTCATTATTTGTTTTAAAAGACCATTTATGGCAGTGTTTTTAACCTTGTTACACATGGGAACCAGCATCTTTTCACGCACAGGCAGCTGAAAAACCACTGATGCAGAGTCAAAGTATTACATTACATTTTCAAGATATGATGAAGGCTAGGATCTTGTTTGGGATATAACTGATGCTCAATCAAGTTTGCAATTTTTGAGATCATAACTACTTATTAGATAAATGTTTATCTTACATTCTTATATTGCCATTTTCTAAAACTTAAATTCTCTATTAAATTTAATTTGATGCTCAGTGATTTGAAAAAACTATATATATGAAAAATTCTACTAAAATAATATGAAGCTCATTATATCATAATTAAAATATTTTAAAGGTCCAGAAGCACTTTGATAATTCAGAGAACTATAATAGGCAAACACAATAAAGAAAAAATTACCATTTTTATCCATGGAATTTGGTTCTGATTGTTTCTTGCCAATATCAGCAAATGAGCGAACAATGGGAATTCTGTTGGTAAGTTTTTTCTGATTCTGGTGGTGATGCTGTTTCATCAGTGCCTCATGGACTCTATGGCGAACATCCTCATTAAGCTGACCTGAGCTCACTTGTTGGTCAAGGACCATATCTGAAGAGGCAAGGCAGGAAGATTAATGCAGATTTCCTACTCTCAGTCATCAGTGACCCACTGACTCGAAACATGGCTAATCTAGATAATACTCCATCATGAGTTATAAATGAATCCCATTAAACATCTCTAAGCATAGTCTCAGAACGTTCACCTTACTTTGTAGAAAAGCTGTTCAAAAAGACTTGATAACTTTGTTTTATTATAAAATATCCCATTTTAATAAATAATGATTTTTTAAAATTTTTATTAGTGAAAATAATGATATTTTAGAGTACTATGTTTCAAATGGACTGGAGAGATAGCACAGAGGGTAGGGCGTCTGCCATGCACACGGTCGACCCGGGTTCAATTCCTCCATCCCTCTCAGAGAGCCCGAAAAGCTACCGAGAGTATCCCGCCCGCACAGCAGAGCCTGGCAAACTCCCCGTGGCATATTCGATATGCCAAAAGCAGTAACAACAAATCTCACAATGGAGATGTTACTGGTGCCTGCTCAAGCAAATTGATGAACAACAGGACAGTGCTATGGTGCTACAGTGCAGTGCTGTTTCAAATAGACATAATTACATTGAGAACAGAGAGCTTTGTGTTCCCCTATTATTCATACTAATGAGAAGAAATACTAGTAAAGTTACAGAAATATGACTAGCCTGTTAGAAGTTGGGAAGTGGTTTCATACTTCTATTTTAATAAGAATTTTCTTAAATTTTTGGTAGAGAATAATTTGCTTGTTTCTTCTTTAAATTCGATCATTGTATAATTGAAACCCAAGCACAAAAATGTGTAAGTCTGCAACTGTACTTCATTATGTCTCACTATTAAAAATTTTTTTAATAAAAAAAATCTATCAGTGAAAATAAGATGCTTAGAGACCCAAGCAGCTTACATTTTGAAGAGTGAACAACTCATATCGACATAAAATCAATTCTCTTAAATATCTCTTGAAACATGTTTATATTAAAATGGTCTTCTAAGGAACCTTCAACCATTCTCCCTTAAAGATTTAAGGGGGTGCAAATCTCTAGGGGGGAATATGATATATGTAGGCAGGTAGTCAGGGAAAGGCCCTCAGCAATGAAACTTAAGTCCACAGAAATTCTGGGAGGAAAATCCTAAGACTGATCCACCCTGTGGATACAGAAAACAGATCTGATTGGACCTTCAGCAGACCCTGAGAAGATTGAACCCCTCCCCAAGAAATTCCTCAAACCCTTGGATGTCTCCCTTAATCTGATTAAAATGTGATCCAGCCTGGAGAAGGGCCAATAAAAGACACCTTTGACAAAGTAAGGGCGCACATATGCTGCAGGAGTCCTTGTGCTGCTTGCACCCGCGAGGCCAAGCACATGTGGTACCTGAGCAAATGTGTCACCCGCATCTCCCCTCTTGAGATGTGTACTTTTATGCTTTCCTATCTAACACTGGGATGTGTGTAGGGGCTCTCTCCATCCTTGGAGAAGTCTGCGTTCTCTCTTGAGAGTGTTAGTCTGTCTCTCTTACTCTTCACTCTCTCCCAATTTCTCTTCCTCTTTCCCTTCAAAAATCCTCCAAATAAAATCTGTTTTACTTCAATAAATAAATTAATTAATTAAAATAAAATGGTCTTCTCGAGAGTTCAGAAAGCTGTAATGAAATAGATTTATATTTCTATATATAATGTCAAAAATGTCAATAAAACTGGTAGACTTTTAAAGTTTCCTGGTAATATAAATCTCAGTTTAACTAATCTGCTTTTAATAGTCAGATATTACCTGACCTTTGGAGCAGAGCCTTCTTACATAATGCAGATCATCATAAATAGCCATCTATGACTTTACACTGGATTTTAAGATTATCAATAATTCCTTACAAAACTTTTTTCTTCAGTGTGAAAGGAAAATAAATCAAGGGAACATCTTTTAATCACTCTATCACATCCTAGCTGTGTGACTTAGTGAAAAAGAGAAACCTCTGCCTAACTTGTAAAACAGAGATTATCTGTCTTTAATGATATTTCAAGACTGTCACTGTCCTCCTGTTGTTCATCGATTTGCTTGAGCAGGCCCAGTAATGTCTCCATTGGAGACTTTGTTGTTACTGTGTTTGGCATATGAATACGTCACGGGTAGCTTGCCAGGCTTTGCTGTGCGGGCGAGATACTCTTGGTAGCTTGCCGGGCTCTCCAAGAGGGGTGGAGGAATTCAACTACAAACATAAAATATGCTATGTAATAATTGGAATATTGAATAACTCAGTAAATATTTCCCGGAACAACATTGTTCCTATAACTTCCATAAAACCCATCTCAGGTTTGAATTTTGTGGTGGTTTTAATGCATTCACCTCTATTTTATAACCGTATATCAAATGGAAGACATTTGGGTTTCGAATTCAAACCTGAGAAAACCCAAATAAAACTACATAAAACAATGAACTTTATTGTCTCACATAACAGAAACATGGAAGTTCGACTTGCCCTAATTCTCTGTGATTCTTCCAGTTTCCTCTTTCGAGTGTGATTTTCCTTAAAGTCAAAGTTTTCAATGGCAAAAAAAGAAATATCTATCTTTGATTTTTTTTCTATAGATTGCTGTATGTTGTGACTTTATTTTAAAATAAAAGTTCCCTCTTCTCTGCCCCGGGGAAAAATAAAAACTCTAAATTCAATTGACAGCCCATTCATACTGGTCAGGGAGACAGGATTCCCATAATTCACTTAGACTAATCAAAATATGTCCTTTGGTTTTCAGTTTCCTAAATTCAGTTTCCTAAACAAAAAGTTGAGAAACTTTTTGTCTATAATGGGTAAGATAATAAATATTTTAAGCTTAGTGGTCCTTATGATCTTGCCACTAGTATTTATCTCTGCGTTTAAGGCATTAAAGCACCAATAAATAACATGTATACAATGGAAACAGCTGCATTTTAATAAAACATTTATGGAAACTAAAATTCTAATTTCATATAATTTCACAAATAGTATTAGTAATTTTATTATCTTTCAATCATGATAAAGATAACAATCATTCTTAGTTCATTAATCTTACAAAATTAGCAGCGGGCAATATCTTTAACACAGAGAGTAAACTTAGCTCCATTGCTTGTTTCCAAGAAAACTAGTTTGAATGCACCTTTTAAAGTTATTCATAACTTTCATTTTAATTGCTTACTTAGTCCTTTCCAATTATGAAAAGCACAATATTACAGAACAATATTTTAATCTATATATTAATTCTTAAGATACCAGAGGTTAAATAGTTCTGTATTAATTTGAGAAAAAAACAAATTGTCAATCTATGTGACTTCACAATAAAATCCTGCTAAAATAGGAAACTAAATAAAATATATATTATATACCTTGTAATGGAAGTCATGAATTAGATTATTTAGATACCAATAGTAAATGATTAGATGGCAATTTCTTCTGGAACCCATGATGTGTAACCCAAGTTCAGTATTTAAAAAAATAAAACTTTTGTTTAGGGGCAAAACAAAAATGGTGATGCTCAGCATTTACTCTTGGCATTACATTAAGACATCACTCCTGGCAGGGCTCAGGGATGATATGAAGTGCTGAGGATTGAATCTGGATTGGTTGTGTGCAAGGCAAATACCCTACCTGATGTACTATCTCTCCAGCCACCAAGTTCAGTATTCTAATAAAACCAAAATCTGGGCTGTATAGATAGTACAGTGGGTAGGGCACTTGCCTTGCATGTGTTCTGACCCAGGTTCAATCTCCGACATCCCATATGGTCCCCTGAGCACCACCGGGAGAAACTCCTGAGTGCAGAGCTAAGAGAAATCACTGAGCATCACCATATGTGATTCAAAAAAATAAAAGTCAAAAGAAAAAATCAATCATGTAATAAAACATGTACTAGGTGGTAAAAGGTAAAGGTAAAGGCCCTCCCGTTGATCGTCGATTTGCTCGAGCGGGCCCAGTAACGTCTCCATTGGAGACTTTGTTGTTACTGTGTCTGGCATATCGAATACTCTCAGTAGCTTGCCGGGCTCTCCGAATGTACTAGGTGATGTTTTTTAATTCTTACCAAAGTATAATCTTTCCAAACTTCTGCACTACAAAACCTGCTAAATTACTAACCTCAGTTTGTTTGTTTGTTTGTTTTTCAAAAGTTACACTTTACTAGAAGTTAATTGTTTTCTTCTAGCTAGCAGGTGATTTTTCTATACATGAAATAAAAGCTACAGAGAAAACAAATTAATTATTTGTTTGCAGTAGTGATTTTATGCTTTGCCCTTGTGCTTAGAGTAATATTGTGATTGTTGGCGGTTCATGTTGCTATGAATTTTTTTTTAATTTTATTATTTTTTTATTAGTGAAGCACCATGAGGTACAGTTATAGACTTACAAATTTTTGTGCTTGGGTTTCAGTTATACAATGATTTTTTAAGGAAATATCTTTATTTAAAACAAATTACTTAAGAGACGGTAACAGAAAAAAAAACTCATCAATTCATAAGTCACAGAAAATATACTGTAAACTTCTTTGCAATATAACAGCCCCAAATAATATCTTAGTGAACTGAAAAATGTTAATCTGGTTTAAGAATATAAAATATTAAGGTGAGTTCTAAACAGGAAAATAAGTTTGATTGACTAATTCTACATTGTTCTCAACACCACTAGGATATATATATATATATATATATATATATATATATATATATGTATCAAGCTTGAAAAGTAGAAAGGGATAATGGACTATAATGGCTTTGGGCTCAGAGTCAAATCCTACAATCTCAGTATGCTACAATGCTTAAATAATAGAGTCTAGCCTGCCAAAGCACAATGCCAGGATCTGGGCGATAAGAGAAGAAGCAAGAGAAAAAAGAAAAATAGGTCAGACTCGTCCAGCATTTAAACCAGTTCTATAAAAACTAGTATCATTTGTGTAAAAATCCCTCAGGAATGAAAAATTCTTTCTCACTCTAATCAGGTAATTATTTTATCAAAATCATTTTTGAATACTGAAAAGAAGTGACCATGATATTTTA